ATTCCTCCATGGCACATACAAATGTTATTATTCTGGGTATTATTAGTGTTATCAGGTAGAGGAAGGAAGGTAGGCTGGAAAGTAAGTCCTTGGGACCACTTTTATTAGGGACCCTGAATGTATATTTCACTGGTCAAAAAACACACATAATTTAGATAAACATGCCAAGAATGAGGTAACAGGGGTAAAAGAAATTCTATGTATCAATAACAAAAAATGACTTAAACTATAGGACCCCGTAATAAGCCTAACTTTCTTTATACTTGAGATATACTTTATTAGCTAGCAAACCTTATATAAAATCAGGAGTCTGAGAAATGTCTGACAGGATTTGATATTTTCAAATTAAATTTTTTCTTCACTCAATTGCCTCTGAGCAATAAGCTCTGTGATTTCCAAGTGCCAAGAGGTAATTTAGTGTGCAGATATACATACCATAGAAACATATTAATTTTTTGAAAATTTAATAAACTGGCTGTACGTGATAATGTTAAGGAAAGAATAAGTCTGATTTGGGGGCTCTTCCAGAAGACTGATTTTTATTGGCCTGTTGCTCCATAGGATAGACTATAATTTTCATACTTTTTTTTTTAACCGTGGAGGAAGAAACGGAGACTGGCCTCTTTTAGTGATTTTGCCTGGTGTTTGGGTCCTGTGGGAATTTGTGAGTTTGCTTTATGGCCTTTGGCCAACCCTGGTGGGAAGTCTAGAGAAGAATTCAATTCTGCTTTTTCCCAGAATACTTGTTGACGAACTTAGTAGTACTGAAGTGTTACATGAGTCTTTGTGTCCCCCAGAGTCCAGTGATAAGGGGACATGAGACCAGTGAGGGTCAGTGTGTCTGGGAATATAATGTTGGTTCTTAGAATTTATATATTTTTCTCATGAACTCTTAGCAATCTTTAAAACAAACTCAACAACTCTGATTTTAGGAGGGAATGAGCACCCTTGCTGCCCACTGCTTCCCTTTGAAGCATTTTAAGCATTTAGCTTTTCAGAAAACAATCACTTCTTGTTGATAACCATGACTTCAAACAGCCTTCCTGCTGAGCCGGTTGTGACTCATAAAACAGCAGTGGATTTCAGGAACTTACCCTTAGAATACGGGCGCTTGCAGCTTCTCAACTTTATAACTGGATAAAATGATACACAGCAAGGGCTTTTGTCTGAAAGGTTAAACCCACACTCAGACACTAACAGTCCTGTGTCTTCTTGGGCTCTTAAGAGGCTGGAAGTGCCTACAGAGTGTCAGTGTTTGATATGCCTGTCAGCAGCACAATGACCTTCAAAGTTCTTTAACCTAGTAGCTGTAAATAGGACAGTGGTCCCAAGTTTGCTAGTCCACACCCCATTTGTTTTTGACATCTCAGGTATGACTCTCACTGCCAACCTAGAATTCAGGCTGTGTGATAATACTCAGCTGCCCTATGAAGAAGCCCTCTTCTAGAAAGGGGTTGGCACGATCTAGAAGAATTAAAGAACCCTGACTTGCTTGAAAGAACTATGTGTAACTTGGATCAGTTTTCCTATAGTTAAATGAGTTGCTTCTTGTGCAGATTAAATGAGATACATGTTACCATTAACAATCATGCTAGATATATTTTGAAGTACAAACTTTTACATGCTCCAGAATGATAACCCAAATGTGTCTTATAAAATACATGCCTAAAAACTTATGCTTTATGCTACCAATGAATAGTCAAAATGCAGAAACAGTGTGATTCTTCCTCTCTCAAAACAGAATGTGTTTTTATCAAAATATTAGAAACAAAATCATAAATGTTTTAAGATTGAAGTGTCAATGCTCAGACTCCCAGTCTTACCAGTTCTGTGATTCAGTCTATTCTCCTACAAGACTGAGAGGCTTATGCTGTATTTCAATTTACATACGCCTCTCTTCCTAGAATATCTAGTGTTGTGTATGTTCGTCATGGCACAATGGTCCAGGAAGAGAGGTTTGAGACATTGTTAAGGGGAAACTCATGGGAAAAAAACTGAATGAGATCCTGCAACAAGTCAGTGACTGTGACTACATTTTATTTTATATCCCAGTGCCTGTAAACCATGCAGTGGATTCCTTGGGATAAGGTACATAAGGCACCGAACATAACACAGGCACTTAGTACATGATCATTGCTATGGCGTTGATGATGAAAACTTGACTTCATCGGTGCTCTGCCTAGAAACTAAGCTGACAAAGGACAAGGGAAAAGGCAAGGTGCTAAAACTAAACCAAACCTGCCTCCTCATACCCCACAACCAACCAGTCAAACATCTGCTACCACAACAAAGCAAACAACACCCAGATTGCAAAGGGTGCCCGGTGGGCGGGAAGCTGAGGTCATGAATTCTAAGTCTCCCACCTGCCACACTGACATCATTCCCATAATTCCAACCTGAAAGGTGGTACATACAGCTTATTCTGCATGCAAGTTCCCAGGAGGCTCTCTGATTGAGGAGAAGAGGCAAAGGGAATCCCTCTTACTCCAGGGTGCTGGCTCGGGCCTTTTCTTTCCCCCAGCCTCACAGTGTGGTTACACTCTGTCATAGTGGTTACACTCTGTCACAGATACAGTTCGGGAGGATTCCACCCCTTCTCCATAATGTAGGACCATACGATTCAAGATGAGACCTATGCTTCCAGTTCCCAGTAGAGGTTGTGGATGCTTTGATTGCATGCCTGGCATGTTTCTTAGAAGCGTTTTTGGGCACCCTATGACACTCCCAGTTATGCTAGTGGTGTATTTAGTCATCAACTCCAAATAGTGGCTCTGCTAAGATTGCCACCTGTCCTACAGGAAATGGACTGAAAACACTTCTCATTCCTACATACCACAAACCCCTGGACAACTGGGAATACTTGTGGGTCATTACCAGCCCAGGCTACATTTGAACTGGTGATCTCAAATTAACTATCCTGTGTTCCATGATCTTTCCTCTACTTCATACTTCATTCTTTAAATGCTATGTCAAGAATGCAAAGTTATAAAAATGATCTCCTTTCCTGCTTCACCTTATGAAACCTTTTTTGGTTGTCCTATTAGAAAAGAATGCAAAATGCACAGCATTTAACAGACTTCCTTTGCAGGGAGCAAGTAATCCAAACAATAGTGTTATATAATGGATAGATTGCTTTTTCCTTTACCCTGTATTAATCTTCCTAATTGATTTCCAAAAAAGGCAAATGAGGGACCTAGCTGCATCCTGTGGTTGTAACCTCTAGGTAAACTGCCACCAAAAGGCAATGGAAGATTTTCCAGAAAAAAAGCAAAAGAAACAGCTCCATTGTCCTGTAGCTGACTTAACTCTTTTTGTGTGTTCTGTCCTGGAGGTACAGACAAATAAGTATGCTCACAAAAGGAAATTCAGAGGTTTGAGGGAGCAACAGAAGAGAAATATCAGAGAAATGACTTAGGTCAGAACAGTCCTACAGGGAAGATTATTTTTAAAAATACGTACATTAAACAGATAAAGAAGGAAGTGATATTTTAATAGGATAGTGAAAAATAGCAGGTTGACAGTGATAGCAGTAAAAGAACAGGAATACAGACATTTTCAGAGGATTAAAATGGTACCATGTACCCTCAAAGCCGGCAAGTTTTTATAAGAGGTCTCTAAACATATCTCCTGTATTGAGTAGATGGTTTTCCTCGGAGCTGTCAAAAACGCTTTGTGGCTCTCTACATTAATTCCTGTTGAATATTTTCCATGGTTGGTCAGACTTGGACTTAAAATAGATATGAGGAAGGTCTTCAGGTTTACCGTCAGCAACATTATTAACTTCATAGGCAGCCGGATGACGGCATGGTGTGTGACCAATCCAAATTTACAAGGTAACCTTGCCTGAATCCTCCTGGTCCATCAAATATAAATTACAAAGTGAAGGTGCAAGAATAGAATTGCAAGGAACAGTGGGAGAAGCAGTGGCCAGGAAGCAAAACAAACACAAGGAAAACAATCTGTGAGGTCACTCAGAAATGATGCTAATCATTGTGTGTTCTCACCCTACAGCCTCCGCACACATGGGGTTCCTCGTGCTTCACAATCAGCCCCTGTAGTCGGTAACCCTTCATGCCTCAATCGCGTGCTTTCCCAAGGGAAAAGAATAGTCTTATGTACCTTTATCTGCAGCCTGCTCACCCTCTTTCACATTATTACTTTATACTGTACTCTACCACTTGCCTCGGCTGAAGAACACAAACTTACACTTTCATGGGCAATTGGAGATACGCTCACTTCGTTTCTTAAGCAACTGGGAAGAGAAAATGGAAATCCGTCTCTAAGGATAATTATCCTTTTTGCCCTATCTCATTTACTTTAAGGAAGTCTTCTGAAATGAGTTAATACATAGAAAACCTAATACATAATAAGTGCTCAGTAATCACTGACACCTTCTTCCTCACCCTTCTGATTAAACTATGTACATTTCAACAATCCCCAAAGCACCTCCTCTGCAACATCAAACAGGTGGCTGAAGTTGACAGACCAGAGCTGATCCCTGTCCTCAATAAATTTCTTATCCCTTACCACTAGTAATAGAGATAAAGCACTACCTAAAAAGGAAATCTCCGTCAATACGTGTTATATTTTCACTACATTTGACCCTTTTCACCATAGAAGCATAGCTGTTATGCTACATAAAGGCTGTGTGCAATGTGTGCTAACACCGATCACTGTCTTTCTTGTGACTAAAGCATAAATCCTAAGCATCCTGCTTACTTAATATAATGGCACATGTCTATTTTGGGGTGCTCCCATATTTTTTAAGTGTGCAAAGGAGATAAATATGTTTTAAGTCAATCTGAGTTAGATTTTTGACCCATTAAAAATAGTATGCTCCTTGGACCCAGATTGGGAAGTGACATCTGAAATTAAGTAAGTTGAGGACTTGCTAGGCATTCTTGGGGACTCAAGTAACACTGCAAACAACTTGTTTCAAGCAAAGTGGACACTCAGCTTCGGCTACAAGATTACTCTTCCGCTATAGATGGTTTCCACACCTGAACTGGGACACCACTTCTCTTGGCTGAGAACTTCGGCCTCGGTGCCACAAAGTAAGATGTAGTGGCTGATTCTTGCTTGGAAGAGGTGGCAATGCCCACGGGCACTGGGGATGCGCTGACCGGTGAGGTGGCCTCTGCAAAGAACGCAGACGGAGAGCTGTATGCGGGTACCGAGTACACAGAGGAGGCCTGCGCTGTAGTGGGCGAGGCAGCATTCACGGGCCGGGGAGGAAGAGCTTGCTTCATGGCTGGCACTGGACTGACCTTGGCGGACGACTTCTGGAGGAAGCCATCCTTTGCATCTGGAGGTTGGAAAGTAAACAAGGATGCGTTTAGCTGATATGGTTGGTGCTTCATGACGTCCAAAGCATTGAGGGTTTTTTTGCCCTTTTTCTTGCTTGTCTTGGAGGCCTGTGGGGCTGAGGACTGAGACTTGAGAGCAGCCAGAGGGTAGGAGGGGGAGTGGATAGGATTGTAGGCCACAGGAGGAGGTGCGCGGACGTTGGAGGAGTACTTCCAGCCGGCCGGTAGGGACGGAGTGGGAGACTGGGCGCGAGCAGCATGGGCCTGCACCGTGTCTGAATCGACCACATACTTCTCCATCCTCGACTGCCTTTTCGCAAAGAGCTGGGCTCCTTTCCCACTCATTCCTGGAAGCTCATTGGATGGTCCCGGGGCACCAGCGTGAGCCGCGTTCACTGTTGCTGTGGGAGCTGCTGGCTTAGGTGTGTAGCTGGGACTGGCTACTGCTGGTTGTGGTCCTTTGAAGGGACCAGCCAGGGTCAGAGCGCTCGCGGGCCGGGCAGGAGCGTGGGCAGGCTGGGCTATTTTGATGGAGGAGACACCGGTGCCCTGCGACGGGTTGGACGTGGGGAAGGCAGGAGGTTGGGTCGGAGGCACGCCTGGGGACCAGACCGGAGACACTGGAGTTCCTGGTTGGGAGGATGAGGACTTGACTGCGGGTTTCGGAGCAACAGGAGGCGGAGTCTTTTGTTTTGCGGAGGAGCTCTGCATGAAATTACAAGCCTCTGCTCCTAAACTGAGGTAGTCTTCTTCGGGTCCGGAATCGCCTCCGGCTCCGGCGCCCTTTTTGCCTTCCGAATTTTGAAGAAGTGACAAGAGTTCAGGATTTGGGCTTACTTTGGGCTCTTTAAAAGTGAACATGGGCTTCGTCGTGCTTCTCCTTTTGGCCTCCTGCAATATTCCTGTTCTTTTTGCGGGCACAGCGATCCTTTCATCCCGGGAGGCTATTCGCTCAGATGAGTCGTAAAAGGCTGGCTGGGACCAGGGGGCAGGCTGGGGCCACGGAGGAGGCTGTGCCGGGCCGGCTACCGGACTTGATACCGCTCTGGAGAAGGCTTCAGGTGGAGGTGTGACTGCAGAATAAGGTGGAGGCGCCGGAAAGTCTGCCATGGGACTTGCCATGTTTCGGGTTGGGGAGAAGGGGGTCGCTGGCTGGTTCACAGACCCCGGGAAGGGTTTGGCTGTTCTGTTCATAGGTATCATCCTCTGGGCCTCTGCTGTTTCGGACACCCCACTGAAGCCATTCTGTTGGGGCACGTGGCCATGACCATGGCTCACCTCGATGTAGCTTCTGCTCACAGAGCTCTGCACTCTTACAGATTCTTCCTCCTTCCTTTGGTAAGAAGCCATGGTTCTCAGGCCCTCCGACTGTGCAGCATCGGGTTCTCTGCTTGGCACTCCACCCACCCTCTCCTCCTCTTTTTGGGCTGCGATCTGATCCATTCGTTCCCTCCTCTTGGCAAACATGAGGGCGCCCTTGCCTGAGGTGTCTGGCAACATCTCCATCTTGTCGCCTCTGTTCAGTTTCTTCTCGATGTCCACTAGTCCAGAATCCCAGTCAAAGTTCACAACTTGTGCGCTGTCGTCAATGTCAGACAATAACTCTTCATCCACCTCTGAGTCACTCGTGCCCAGAAAGGCTACTTCACAGGTATCCTCTTTGTCACCTTCCTCCTCGTCTGCCTCCCGCTCAAGTTCGCCAGTGCCGTAGCTGACTAGGGTGTATTTCTTGGCCCGCCTACGACGCTTCTTAAACATCAACACCCCCTTGGAGTTGGGGTTGGGGGCATCTGTAAGAAGGAGGGCAATGCTTTTGCATTTAGATTTTGCTTCTTTCACCTGCTTTTCTGATAGGCTTTCACTCCTCCTGAGCCCTAGGGAAAGGACAAAAAGTAAAGTGAGTTGATGAATTCCAAGAAGACCTCATAGCAACCCAGAAATCAACTCTCCTGGGAGAAAGTAGATATGGAAAAACATGCTTACAATTGGCTGCTGAATTTTGAAGCAATCTAACTCATTTCTCTTTCTTATTTCTTTTAAAATGTATACTTTTATGATGGTATACAATGAAACATATAACTCTGCGCAATGGTCTGTTTCACTTGCTCATATAAATACATCTTTCAGTATGGTGATTAGAATATATGCAGCATATGGATCTTTCTACTTTGACAATAAATGCTGGCTACTAAATGTGAGTCAATAGGATGTAATCAAAACTAAAAAGGAAACAATTTAAGGACATAATATATTCTGAAAAACAAGGTAAGACATACTTTGTACTTCCGTATTTAAAAAATAAAATGTCAATATAAAACTGTCTCCAAGCATTTTTTTAAAAAGTGGGAGTGGGTAGGGCAAGAAACTGTTATTTTGAAGTGTTTCAGTGTAATGAATTTAAATATTTAAGTTTTCTTCTTCTTCTTCTTCTTCTTTTTTTAAAACTCTGACATCTCCCCAGAGTCCTTGTATTCATGGTGACTGGATTAATATAAATTCAAAAAACTAAATGAATACTAATTGAAGGCACTGAATCAATAATTGCTAATGATTTGGAACACGGGATCATTGTGAAAACATGTAAGAAATTCAAGCTACTAAAGCTGTCTAGATAAATTTGTTTGAAATGGATTGCTATTTTGGAAATATAACACTGCTTCAGTCGCAGCAAGAATAAGCATAAATCTTAAGGAAATTTAAAAATTATGTGACTAGTGACCCTCTTAATTGTGGGTAAAAGCTGATGCAGAAATTCAGTCATTTAAAATGAGAGTTTGACAGTTTTAAAGTAACAAACATTTATACTTAAATTTTTTATTTTCTCATTACTGTTATACAAAATAAATTGGTGGCAAACTAATGTATAGCATCAGTTAATTGTCATCTGTTAATTGTCATCTGTCATCAGTTAAATGTCATCATGTATTTAACGATAATGAGCATGATTCACAAGCAAGTTTTGAATTCTTCAAAATAGTTCAGTGGAAATTTCAGAAAAACTTTTTGAATATTTTATGATTGGAAATTAGTTTCTTTTTTTTTGTCCCTGGAAAAAAATCAGACTTCATGATTCGTTTTTTTTTTTTTAAATAAAATAGAATCAGAGTGAATAGTTTTCTAACAAAGTTACAGATATTTCCTGGCAATCGAATTTTATTTAGAGAAAACAGTAAAATACGTAATCATTACTAAATGTAACTCCTTTTTTTGACCAGTGTTATACAACTTCCTATTAAATTGACAGTCACAGTTGCACAGTTGTTGCTCACTTCACTGCCAACATGTAAAGTATGGGAGGGATACCTTAACACACTTGTTTAATATGCCACAAATGTGATGCTTCAAGTCTAAGGACGATTAACAGCACTTGCCAATAAAGCTACAAATGGCTATGCTAAAGATATGCTTGGAAGGGAATAATGAGGGGTTAGAAGATTTAATATAGTACTTTGAATAACTGAGTTCATTACCATTGCATATCATTCATACCTTCAAGTGCTTTTGCTAGTCAGCCTTTACCTCCACAAATGAAATTCTAAAATTAGTTTAAAAAAAAAGAAAAAGAGAGAGAAATAACAAAAATCATAAAACCTAACTGACACTCTTATCTTCATTCTCCTTTCTGTAATCAGTCCCTTGGGTAAAACAAAATACCGTAGACAGCCTTGAATTTAAATATATTTTACATTTGGGGACATTTAAATGCCTCCACGGGGCCCGGGAGACTGACTCGTGTGTCTAGAAGGTAGATGAAATTCTTTGCAGTCGAGTGAAGACATACAAAACGGAGAGGATCATGTAACTGCTCAGTATGCCACATGTCCTTGTCTGTCAAACTCACTTCTGCAAGCATCATCAAGCTGCACGACGATTTTTTTTTTCAAAATGAGGATCTGCTTTTAATATCAGTGGTGGAGCCTGTATTTTCAAGACACCACTCAGCAGCAGACTCAACCATTTTTGACATTTAAACTCCGAGTCCACCTGACTTCAGATACTCCCCTCTGCTATTTTACCTGAAATCTTACAACATTTTGAGACAAATCAAAGAGACGTGTTAACAACATTATTTTCTTGAACAGCTCCTGGCCCTTTGGGGGTAAAAGAAAGTGCCTTAAATACATTTAAATCTATGACAAACTTCCAAATTATTGCCTCCTTCATTTCAGAAATTGGTGTTCCCCATAATTTCCCATTTGTTATTCTGTGCATTAATAAAAAAAAATTTTAACCACAGAGAGAGACATAAGAAAAATCTTAAAAAGAAAAAAAAAATCCATGTAAGTGAAGTAGCAGCAAAATGTCCTAAGCTCCCAGGGCCCTTCCAGTAGCCCAGCGGGGGCCCTGGGCAGGACTTACGTGCGTGGCGCGCTCGGTGCTTGTGAGGTCGGCTGTGATCCCTTTCCGAGCGTGGATCTTCTCCCTGCTCTGTGCCTTCTGATGAGACTGCAAAGGATACCAGAGAAGGAGGTGCTTCTGACTGCCCTCCTTCTACTGGAGAATCCACACACCCCTTTCCTGCCTGAAGCCTGCACCCTTCCGTCTTCTGCCTGTCCAAGCAGTCGAGTATCACTTCCACCCGGGGCAGCCCCGAGTCTCCTGCTTCACTTCCCTGGATCACTTTTAACTCTTTGCCACTGGAGAGCTGGATTATCTTGCTGGACCTCAGAGAAGGCTCCCCTTTCTCCTTCGTGGGGACTGAATTTATGTGGACGATCCCACTGTGGTGTACGTGGGGAGGATCTGGGTCAGGAGACTTGGATTTTTCAGCTCCCACGAGAGCCACCACAGGGACATTCGTGACCTTGTGTCTCTCTTGTGAAAGGGACAGTTGTAGCTCAACCACAGAGCCTGGCTGCCCAACTTCTGCCTTCTCCCTTAAGATAATCTCCTCTGCTAAGCGTCCTGCTTGGGAGTCAGGCATAGGGGGAGCCACATGGTAGCTCAAGCCTGTTTCTTCTTTTATGCTCCCAGAAAAACCAGGACCACTCCCTTGGTCCTCAGCTAGAGGAGCCCCACTCCTGACTGAGGCAACGTACAACTCTCTGTGCTGGCTCTTTGCGGCTGGTCGAATCTGCAGGGTGGTACTTTCCACGCGCCCCTCATGGGTGAGATGCTCGGGGGGGTTGTTTTCAGTTTCAGAGATGGAAGTCTCATTTACTCCACTGGATGGTCTGCACACAGAAAAAGCAGTCCAGAAGGTTAAATCAGAGTGTTACACCTGCCAAAGAACTTTCTGACACTTTCATGATACATGATACCGTCAAAATATTTCCTCTTAAATGTCAACTGCAACATGTTTGAGAGCAGAAGTTGGCAACATGTTTATATTATTATTTAAGGGTCTTCCAAATACACTTTTCTTTAAAGCAAAGCAAAAATGCATACAAAAGATTATGGAACCTAAATCCATCCTAAACTCAGCTTTGATTTTTTAAAAGCACAGATTATAGCTACACGGATGTCCAAACTTCATCTGTAATTATTTGGGTGTTTTCAAACAACCACGTTCGTTCTAATATGACAAAGCATTTCAGTGTCTTACTTACTGACTCTAAGTTTAGGTCTGAACATTGTAATGTCACATGAACATATTCAGCAGCTTCAGAGTAATATTAATATACAGATAATTCAAGTAATCCTTTTAGAGGCTGTGCTTTCTTGAAAGGAATGAAATAGAAGCTGTTTTTCAAGCTCCAGAGAGCATGTGTTTTGTAATAAGTGGACCCCAGCCCAGTACTCTTGTGTAAAGAGAAATCCTTTCCATGCTGCAATGAACCATTGAGTCATGGAGTATTTATAATCGGAGATGTCTCCCCTTCTCCCATTTGAACCTGTCTCTCAGGGCATTTCCTTATAGGATCTCTGAAGTCAAACTGTTCCCTTATCTCTCAGCTAAGAAGCCCAGCTCTGTTCACCACCATCCTTTGCTTTTGGCCTTAATCATTCCCAGCTGGTTTTGCGAATCTGGGTTTGCAAGAAGCAATGCCAGTTTAAGAGTCAAACAACTTCTTGCTAAAACTCTAATTTAAACTTGAAATGCTTTTAGAAGAGAAGCATCACTCACAGAACAGCTGTAGGAGATGCCTTCATGTCTCACATTTGTTAAGTTTTTTTTTAAAAAGCAGCAGTGTCCATCTCTGCCCCTTTCCTCCTCCCTCAAAATGCCCCCTTGATTAATGCCAGATCATCATTTGAAGGGAGTGAACCCCTCCTCAAGGGGCTACCCAAAGGAATATACCTTAGAATCTGTCTGATGGAATTTCTGACAGATGTTCAAAATCATTGCTCCTAACTTTGCTTTTGACTGCATTTAGTAAACAAAACTAAACAAAAACAATAAAAAACTAACAGTCAAATGAATTGCGGCTTTCTCTAAGGAAGTAATCTGTAAAGCTTCCTGGTAATTAAAAAAAATTATAACATAGCATTTTTAAAAACCTGATGATAGCAAATTAGATCTTTCTTGTATAGGAAATGATTAATACACTCTATGCAACTAAATTTGATGGTACCAAAAGGTCAGAGAGTTTTAATTTAAGAGGGCCTCGGATGGAAGTAGATTAAATCACTTTGAATTACGTTAGCAATCAATTATGAAGCTGAGAAGAGAGTCACTTGAATTTATTCCAGTCTTACAGAGTGTAATACAGGCAAATAGATCATATAAATGTTAACATTTACTGGTAGCAGAAGCAAAATGGATATACATGAATACAAATCATAAGAGCACTACAGACTAAAGATTTGCCCTTAAAATGCTCATTTCCTTTCAGTCTACATAGGGACAATGCTCAGATACCAGGAACAGTGGTGGTGGTGAGGATGATGATGAAGATGATGATCATCATCATCATGATTGCCTTTGGGCTGATTTTCATTTGAGATTCCATTCGAATCTCATCAACTATTTATTTTGCCGAAGTCAAAATACTTAAGAGAAAATAATCATCATCATAATTCCAGTTATTAAAAGTAGCAGAGACCTAGTTCATTTGTTTCTGGAAGTAAATATGTACCTAAGGCTCAGCTTTAAATCACCACGGATTTTCCCAGTGATAGCCATTGTAATCAAAACAAGAACCAGCAGGGAATGTCCCAGACCACAAATATGTTCCAAAGAAACTGGCCTCATTAAAAGAGTAAAGACACTAAAAAGGGAGCAAGTTAGAAAAGGTTTTCCCCTTATTTGGGATGTGATTAAACCTTTAACAAAGATGGAAGTCTTCAAATACCTCAGAGATTTATGGGTGATAATGGCAAACGCTGTGTCCACCCTTGGCAAGACGCAGTTAGTTTTCTTTTTAAAAGTTTAGTTTTCTTTTAAAAGCAAAGGGCAGCTTTATAATTAAGTAGGATCCTAAAGGCTTAGACATTGGGCTTGCTGGGTAAATATTTAGATGGGAGAGTCTAAGAATAGTGCTACATTTCTTTTATTTTCACAAGATTATGGCCCTACCAAGTTCATGTGTGAAATAGAATCACTAGTGAATGATTATCAGAGGGGTAATGCCGCACGTCGTGTTTCTGCAGAGTTAAGACAAAACCTGGAGAGCTTTCAATTCTGTGTGAGATTGTCCTCTGGCACCTTCCTGAAGGCTGCTCTCCAGGAAGCCAGAATTTTCCTTTCTGGAGACATTACAGTGCATGGTCAGAGCCTCACTTGCAAAGTCAGTAGGGATTTGTACACGGTCCTGCGATTTGCACAGAACTGTAAAAATGGTGAAGCTGTCGCTTTTTTGTGATCGCCCTTGTTGTTTTCTTTTGTCTTAATGTTTAAAGTTTACTACTGCATTTTTAAGCAATTAGGTAGGGAGGGTGGTATTTGGGGAAATCAAATTAAGAAGTGATTTCCATTAGCAGTCCAAAACCTTTATTCTAACCATCTGCTTTTGTCCATACCCAGATGGTTTTGCTACAGGTCCTGACAAGCAGAAATCGAGCTGCTTTTAGGGGTTTTTGTCGTTCTTTTCCTTCTCCTAGGCACTCTCTTTCTATAAAAAATTGTTGTACAGTGTCACAGTTTAACACAAACATTTTTTAATGGAATTGATTGCTGTTCTTTTTTTAAATTTTAATTCCAGTATAGTTAACATACAGTGTAATATTAGTTTCAGGTGTACAAAATAGTGATTCAACACTTCCATACACACCCAGTGCTCATCATGACAAGTACCCTTCTTAAGTCCCATCTCCCCCTCCATCACCCCCCCGCCACCACCCCACTGGTAACCATCAATTTGTTCTCTAAAGTTAAACACTTTTAATTCATTGGTGAATCTGGAATTATAATGTAGTGATCCCGACCCACCACAAAATCTTGACCTAGAAGTATTAAATTATGTTCAACATACTGAGCTTTCTAAGGAGCTAGTCTAAAATACCTAAGATTTTCAACAAAGTTCATGACACAAAAATTTTCAAGTTAATTCTCAATTAACCAGAAAATTAACTGCCATTTTTCAAATATGGTGGTACTTCTGTTTAACTATATTACCCTTCTACAGAGCAACCCCAATTTCCCCATAAATGACAAATTATATATTTAGTAAAAGCTATAGTCATTCCCATCTAACTTCAAAAGAAAATCAATATTCTAAAAAATCTTTTGTACCTTTTGATAAGCATTTGGAGAGAGTCCGTTATGCTCTCCATGAGCTCGATGACTTGGGGGTAGGTGAGGTCTGCACAAGGGTTGCCATTGATAGAAACCACTTCATCCCCCTCACAGAGCCCAGACCCAGAGGCTTTGCTCTGGCTTCGGATCTGAGTGGAGTGAAAAAAGAAAGAAAGAGTTAGAATCATATAACTTGTAAAAAAACCAAAAAACAAAAAACCCATGCCACCATCTCTAAGAAATGTTTATTTTGGAGGCAAATAGATCTGCAAAGTATAAAATCGGCCCTGGTTTTTAATCCATCTGTTGACCAAGAAGACCACCTTAAACCCTTCTGACACCTTTCACACACACAATGTATTATGCACCATTATGTCAACATTTAATTCATAGCACTGTAAGTGAATGGAAAAGGAAAGTAAATCTATAGTAAAGGAACTAGAATAAAAGAAATAAAGAATAGAGAAGAATGAGGGCAGACATGTGAAAATAATTGAGTTTACATTAAAAATAATTGTCACACTGTGAAGTTTGACCCCAGTCAGAGAGTGACCGCTTACATTCAAAAACTGTTAAAAGCTTTTCCACTGTGGAGGTGGGTTGAACACGGACTGTAAGGAGATGTAGGGTAGGACAGTTGAAGGAGAGAGTGGTACAGCTAAATGAACTAATGAAAGCCGTCCCAGCATAAGGGGGAAGTTAGGCAGCCAGAATATTAAGAATTATGTCAAAGAGAAAAATCCTTCATTGAAAGCAACAATTGAAGTCTCGGTAGGAAGCAAAGTTCAGCAAAAAAGAAAGAAAAAAAAGATGATTTTGCAAATAAAAACATCCCCGCGGTAACGATTGTTATCATATTCTTGCCCAGAATGACGTGGAACAAAAAACTGGATAAAAACCTAAAAGAGAACTTTCAGAACCTGGAAAAGAGAAATTTAGAGGAGTAGAATAATGGCAGAGCCCCCACCAGCTCCTTAGTGAGGAATAACTGGAGGTTTATATCACGTATAATTCAGATTATGGTAAAATGTCATGCCTATTATTCTCCCTCCGCCCTTCCAGGTTCCTTCTCCCCCTCCTCGGTGCTACATCGTGCCAGTGGGGGACCGGCCTCTAGAGACAGCACTGGCTGAGCTCCCTGCAAGCTGCTCCTGGTTGGATTTGGTCAACAGTAAGCCCCAAGAAGCACTCAAAGAGCAAGAGGAATGAGAGATCAAGTAGACAGATGTTCTCCCTACTGAATGTGCTGGGTCATGGTTTGGCAATGGCTCCATTCCTCCATCTAGAGAGTCACGGCTCCTGTCTGTCTGCCGCTCTCCCTTGCCTTAACTCTTGTGAGATTCCAATTAACACGTACCATCTTCTTGCCTCTTCAGGCCTAACAGTAATATAATACCTTCCTGCTTTTTACCTCCGGGTGCTTCATTATCATTTGGTGGTTCACTTAAGCCTGCCTTTAGTCCCTGCACTAGATTATCTTCAGTTACCTCTTTGAGCATGCCACCTATTTCCTGCTGGGACCCTAAGTGATACTGATGTGGTTAGATGTCATTTTATATGTAACATGTCATACAATCTGAAACTTAATGACACTTTAAGATCCTATTCTAGATATTTTCCACTAAGATGATCCCTTTCTCACTATTAAAATCAAGATTCTGAGTCCAGAGAGATCAAAGCCTCGTCAGCAATACTTCTTGAAGAATGTTTTCATAGCCAGGCTCATTTCTGATTTGGCAAGAAACGTATTTCAGCTTACCTCCTACAGCTGCCCACTAATCGATAATCGGCATGTTGACCAATGAGGTTTAAGTTTCTATCTCCAGGTGCATTTACATGTTAAGTGGCACTCTTGAAAATAAAAGATACCTTTAAGTGCCAAAACGATGACACTTGTGAAGTTTAAAGTGATTCAGGTAGTTTTGCTCTGGGAAGGTCTGGCCTTTGATGGTCATAAATTATAATCTACAGTGGTTTCCTGTTTTCTGACAAAACTATCTCATTTTTATTCGTTTTGGAAGAACATACTAGTTTATTGCAAAATATTTGCAAGGCTATAAGGAAGCAACAAAAGCAATGAGAAAGAGAATACGCCCCCAATTTTGAAAAATATCTATTTACCTGCCAAATATATTTGTTTTGTTTTGTCTTGCATGAAATAATTAAAATAAAGACTCACAAGAGAGCTGTTAATAAGTCAGGGATAAAATAATATCCAACAGTGAACCTTTAAGTTAAGGTTAGAGTTGTTTGTTCACATTTCAGTCATCTAAATTTATTTATTTATTTTTTTATAAAATAAGATGAGGTGGATAATAAAGCATTTTTTGAAGCATAAACCCATTCATTCAGTTGAATCAGATGTACTAGAACACAGACAGGAAATTCATCCTTTGGAGGACCAAAGAGGTTTTATGTTTATAAGACAGATGGATCATTACACCTTGTACCGCTCAAGGCCCAATCTCAGGGGCGGGGAGAGGGGGTTTCACTTTTATCGGCAGTAAGTTGTGTGAATTTTAAGCACCTTCATGGGTTTGCAGAACAAGATGAAAAATTGATCCTTGGAAGAGAAATAAATCCCCAACTTAACAGAGCTGTCTAGCATGCAAACGTTTTGCTTGACGGGAAAAGGGCAGTTGATCATTATGCTTGTCAAGTGGAGCTTTTAATGGTATCCGAATAAGCAAAAGCATTATGGGAGGAGTAGTTAGCGTTCCTTCAGAGCATGCATTCTGAGGTCAACATTCAGAATCAACTGCGGCAGTTGTGTTTCACTGACCTTTTACATCTGTCTGAACAGCAGGAAATATTTTCCTCAAGAACCATGTTAAATGTGGAGATACTGTCCTTGCCACAAAGGTTTTTCTGAAAGAACTACTCTTCTTCCATTTCTAATAGGACTACCAAAACAAACAAGATAGTACAACAGTGTCTAATATGCCCAGACATATCCTTTGCAATCACCAACTTCACCAATATGGCTCACTTATTAGTGTACAAAAGATCCTTACCTTATGTTGTGTGTAATCAGGTATTTTAGAATGTATATATTTGTGTATTATTATGTACGTGAATAAAAATTTTAACTCCTGAAAATATTCTTATTTGTGAAAATGAAATACACTGTCAGTAGTAAGTTTGGATATGGAGATCATTAGCACTGACAATGCTGAATCTCAGCGAATTTATCAACCAGTCCTCTTCTTAGGCCATTAGTGCTCAAGTCATAAAATAGATAGTGGGAGAAAATGGCAACTCAGAAGGAAGAGAGGTTTCAATTGCCTAGCTCCAATGATTACTGGCTGACTGAAGTTAGATAAGTCATATTACACCTTTGAGCTTTAGTTTTCTAAAGTATAAAATAGAGCTAATGAATTTTATTTCTCTAGATGGTTAAAAAGGATTAGAAATAACATGTACTAAGTTTATGACACACGCACAGCTCCTAGAGGTACCCAAGAAAGGGCAAATGCATAAAAATGAGTTGGTTTCACACACACACACACACACACACACACACACACACACGAAAGGAACATGCCAAGTAAAAAGAAAAGCTATAAAATGCTCGTACTTTGTCTACAAGATGTTTGAAAACAACTGGATTTATTTTCAGTTTTTATGCCTATATTTCGCATTAACTCATCATAATATAAAGATAAATGTTACATCTGTCTTTTGCTCGGTAAGTACACGTTTCATAACTGAGAGGTGAAAGAAGACAAGCCTATTTATTGTTTCCCAGCAGAAATAACAATACAAATATTTAAATACTAGGGGCTTATCTTCACTGAGCACTTACTATGCTAAGCCCTCTACATGCTTATACCGTTTATCCCTGCAAAACCTCAATGAGAAGTATATGTACACTTCCATTTGTGAATGTTCAGATGGACTGCACCCAGGCGCCCCTTACCATGAATCTTAAAGAGAGAGAGGAGCGTAGCAACAGTTAGCAGAGGCCGTAAGGAAAGTCAGGAAGGAAGTAAAAACTTGCCCAGTCAGTCAATAACCTGGGAAAGAGAGATTTTGTTTTATTTGGTTTTCTTTCTTCTTTTAAGATTTATATATATAAGGTATTCTTTAAAAATTGGAAAATAATCAATATTATGACCCAATATGTGAAAAGTTCAAACTTGAGTCTAATTATCTCTTGCAAAGTGTGATTTGACACAATATGAGCATGCAATGTATGATGCCTTTTTCTTGAGAACATTACCTTAGACACTTCATTCCACATCTAATATATTAGACAGAGAAGGAGTTTCTATCCATAAAATACTGTATTCCCTATTAGCATCTCTCAGTTTAATCAGACCACAGAACTAAGAGATACTGGCAATGTAAATATTTACCAAAGACTGTATTTTTTTGCTTACCGCTTCTTGATCCATACCAGGAGAGATTTATTTTACTACAACCAAGTGAAAATGGAAAGTTAGAGCTTCTCTGGGAAATTCAGCAACGTTATTTTCATTCCACAGAATAAATCTGGGAAGAGTTTCAGCCATGCTAATTTGGTTTTAGGAGTTAATAATTCCCTGGCAAAATGCAAAAAGCTTCTTTTTCTATTCTTTTATCATCACTTCATTTCTAAGTCTTCCAGAACTGACTAGAAAGCAGGTATCAGATTTGAATTCTCATAGAACTTTGAAGTTGAACTATTTTTGTCTTGTGTAAATGGCATATCAGTTGTGTCAGCTTGCTGCTGGTGAGACTAAATCTTGTCTCAGGGGCTGCATTTTCACCTATAGCTCATTGACAAGTCCTGTTGGAACATGTCACAGTAAATGGCAGAACCAAGACAAGTAGTAGATTCCACTACTTTATCTATTAAAATATATGAAAAGGAAAAAGGAAATTAGCATAAATCTCAATCTCATAAATCTCTCAAGCTATTCTCAATCCATAACATGAAGTCCCAGGGACCTGGAGATTACTAAAAGAGCGTGAGAGAGATGATCTCAGACAAGTAAAATTTCAGAAATTAAAACATTCTGATGGAAACTGGAAAGTAGGCTATGATCTAGCAGCTCTTTCTGAAGCTCCAGGCTTTCCTCAGTTTTCTGCTTCAGGCCTTCAACAAAATCCCCCTCGTATCTCTGAGACGAGACTTAATAAGCATTCACTCAGCCCAGCTGGCTCT